AGCAGAAAATGGAAAAACAAGGCTACAACTCTCGAAACGACCGGCCGGGTCGTTACAAGCTACCTAGCATTTCAAGTTGTGACCTAAGACTATTTCTGAACCCCCTTTATTATTTTACACTAGAATTTTTTCTTATGTCAGGGAATTTAACCATTTCTATATAATAAATCTTTTATTTATATCCTTTCCACGCAATTAATTTCCCACAAAGTTTATTGCATTTAATCCCTTTAGCTCCGCCACTACCGTTAGGACAGACATCACTCGCCATCTGCCCCATTATATATTGGTCATATTCAACATACTACGCTTACCACAACCAAATTTGTAAGTTGATGACGCAACTTGTAATTTACAAAGTATTTCATAATTGATATATGACTATATGTCATTATAGTAATACTCCAGGCTGCCATTCAAAAAGAATTTATGCAATAATTTCAATAATTGCAAGTTACCAGTTAGTCGCCATGTTTGACAACTCATTTTCTAATTTGCCGAGTAATAATATATAGTCGGCTCTGTTCGACAAAGACTAGTACATCCTCCGTTTCAGTTTATGTAATATCATTATTTTTTAAATTTTTAAAAAAATAATGACATACTTTTTTTGAAAACACTTCAACTTTAACTTTTTTTACCCCGGTGAGAAATTTTATAGCGACACAAATGCCTAAAAGTTACAAATTTCAAATATTTTCTTTTCTTTCTTCATTTTTATTTCATAGTAAATTAGGTCACATAAATTAAAGCGATTATCTAATACCATTGCTAAGATCAGTCAAGAGCAAAAACTTCATTTCCTCGATCGCATTTTCTAATACAAACAGATCTTCATGTCTATGATCTTTTTTTTTTGTCACTTTGTGCGTGTAATATTCGCCTTGTTGGTTCCTAATAAATATTTATTTTCAATAATCGCCCTAAGAGGGTGACACTGTATGTCTATGCCTATAAATAAAGGACATTTTCTAGTCTCGTTATCCATTCCACACTATCATTTCCAATGAACTTGCAGCTGCTCTGCTCGCTTATCATCTTTTGTGTGAGTAGATTTCTATATAGTTTTGTCTTTATCTTTCACAATTTATTTAATTTTCATCCTTATCAAGAAGTCATTTCATTTCGAAAATACAGTATCATACTTCCTAAATTGCCATTGCTTTTAAAAGAGTTTTCAAGAAGGTTTTGACTATCGTGGTATACTTCAATCAACTTACCTAATATACTCTTTGGAAAATTAAAGTATCTGAAAGTGGAAGAGCTTCATTCTACTTATTGCTTATATAGGAGATATATTGATTAACAAAAGTTTTTTATTGTTGTATATGTAGATTGCTTTTGTGACAAGTACTTACGCAGCAATATATCCAGAGATTTATTGGAAAGTAAAGTTGCCCCACACTCAAATCCCCAAAGTCATCAATGATTTCCTTCCCCAATCAGGTTTGTCTACAACTCCAGGGATGTTCTCCTTCTTGAGAGAAAACACAACATTTCTATCACTTCATTATTTGTGTCCTTTGACTTATCTTCCTAATATGTCTTTATCCACGTATTGTTAATGCTTGCACTGATTCAGTCGGAAACCATAATACATATTTTGCGGTATTTTTCGCGTAACTGAGCGACTGAATCAGTCGCAATTTGGAGCCAAAAATTAGAAGAAAAAAAATTAACATATATTTTTAATAAAGTTTCCGACCAAATCATTAAAAATTGCAACTAAATTAAATCGGTCGAAATTATTCAGTCGCAAATTTACTCTTTTTTTTAGTAGTGTGTGGTTAAGCTGCTATAACTATGGTCAAAAGTTTCTTAAGCAAACATAGATAAAAGTATCTCTGTGTGGACCTATTTAATTAATTACTTATTTGCAACTTTATGTTTAAAATAAGATAATATTACTCCTCGATTATTAAACTTAATTATTGCACTTTCTCAACATTGACATATATAGAACATTGATTTCATCAAAGTTTGTAGATTTAATCCAATTTGAAACAGCCCGAACAAACTTACCTATATTGTTAATTTAAGCAACCCTTCATATATGATGGATGATGTTTCCAAGTGGACATGTTAATGTTTTTAGACCTCATTCTGACAGAAAATAACAATTTTACCGCTTGTCACTTTGGAATATTAAACTTTATCGATGGGAAAAATAATTGTCATCCAAATAAACCATGGCTAGATGATTGCCCCAAACTCTTTATCTTAATTTGGTCATTATTTGGAAAAAAATAATTTTCGTTGTGTTGTTACAGAGGATGACATACGTGAGCTAAAACAAGATAAGAAGAATACAAAGGAAAAAGTATACTACGGTTTACACCAGCATGGAATCTTGGTTTATCATGTTGCTACCGAGGATGAGATTCGTGATATAAAGAAGGAAATCCCTAGCAAGAATGAATTCCAACAAGTAACTGAAATAAGCCGTGGTAAGAGTGATCTTCAAGATGATTTCCTTTACAAACCTTACTTCTTAGAGAAGGAATTGGCGAAGGGAAAAGTCATCAACTTTCCCTCTTTCAAAAACAAAAACGAAGCACCCTTTTTGAGTCGCCAATTTGTGGAATCGATTCCCTTCTCTTTGAAAAAAATCCCAGAAATTCTAAACCATTTCTCAATAGATAGTAGCTCAAAGGATGCTCAAACTATTGAGGAAACAATCAAATTTTGTGAAGAGCTAGAGGTGAAACATAAAGAGAAGAAAAGTTGTGCAACTTCTTTGGAATCTATGGTAGATTTCAGCTTATCCATGCTAGGAAATAATAATAATATTGTGTCAATTACAACGAGGGTACAAGGGGAAACTCCAATGTTGGAAGAATACACCATTCAAGAAGTTCAACAAATAGGTGATGGGGATAACATGGTATGCCACAAACTTAATTATGCATATGCAGTGCATTTTTGCCATGTTGGTGGACATACCAAGACATTTGCGGTATCTATGATAGGTGCTGATGGAACAAAGGTTAAAGCAATATCTGTATGCCACAAAGATACATCTCTTTGGAACCCAAGGGGATTGCCTTTTGTAGTGCTTAAAGTTAAGCCTGGAACTACCCCTATATGTCATTTCCTTCAAGATGATCAAATTGTCTTTATCCCTTCCATAGAGGCCACTAATTATGCTATCTCATAATTAAACTTACCCTAAGAGTTTGGTTATTATGCAGTTAAGTAGTATGGGGTGACTACAGAATCATGATACATGTTTATTAATCTGTGATATATCTTAATAATAATGAAAATGATTCTGGCTTCATGGTATTTTTGGTTTCGTCGACCTCCAAAGATTTCATTCGTAGCATATTGCGAAAGTATTAAATTCTACAATTTATTCTACACATGCAGGAAAGATAATTTATTACTCCTATATGAAACTTAATCGTTACAAAAGTTGACTGTTCTTGTCACACAGTGTTAGAAAGAGTACTACGTACTCATGTGCATAAGCATTGCAAACAAAGGAAGGAGGGAACTGAAAGAGCGTTAAGATAGTAATATTGCTACGAATGCATCCATATTCCATATTTAGCCATGAAGTCAGCAAAGGCATTAGCTTCCACGAAGACATGCCGCACTTGGGGTTGGGCATAACTAATCTTTACTTTCTGTTTTCACAAGTGGGCATATTCTATGTTCTATGCCTATAAATAAAGGATAGTATCTGTTCCGGTTCCATCCAAGCTGTTGCTTTCAGTCCTTCAGTTAATCCACAGTGTATCGTATAAAAAAATTTCCAATGAAGTTTCAGCTGCTCTATTCTCGCACCATTTTTTGGGCGAGTAGTACTTCTGTATAGTTCGTCTTATCTTTCACAATTTATTTCATTCCTAGTCCTTTTCTAATTATCATTTCATTCTAGAAATGTTATCAGAGGCGAACCCAGGAATTGAGCACAGCAAGGGCAGCGCTATTGACATAAATATGTCAGCTAATAACGATAAATCTGGCGTGCTAACTCTTTGAAAACTTAATGACTTTGAGTCAGTGACTGAAAGAATATTCCAAAATATTATAAACTTAGTCTAACAAGATCAAGATTAGATTTGTTAAGTAGTCCAAAAAGAGTCTCAATCATTGTCGTTGAATCAACAGACATCTTCTGCTTTGTCGATGTGATCTTTGAAGGCAGAAGGGACATTTTTGGAGTTTTTTTATTACTGTTTTTTGTTGGGAAAAAATAATATCCCGCCCAGGAATAATACCTATGGTAAGTAACAATAACACAAGAGAGTAACAACGACACCAAATATTTTAACGGGGTAAAATACAATATCCGAGCAGAGCAATATTACCACTATAATATTACAACTTAGTAGTGTCAAGAGACTACTACAACTTCGAAAGAAATAACACTCTTTATTTTAAACACCTCACTACAATATTACTCCCACTCTCTATTTATCTCACAGACTACAATCTGTGGATTACTCTCTATATGCTCTATTGCGCTCTCCCTGATTTGGTGTGTTTTAAACTGAAACGAAACACTTCCTTCTATTGGAAAAGTTGCCGTCCAAATTAACCAATCAAATGCATTCGTTCCAATTTGCAGTTTTGCAAATTGCCGTCCATATCAACTTGTTGCCAACTTTTGTTTTGCTTTTTTGGTTGCAGCTTGTTGCCAGATTTCTCTTTTCTTTATTTTTTTATTTATTCAAATGGGTTCTACATTTTTGGGAAATAGTTTGTTGAATTATTTATTTTTATACAGGTCAAGAAAATGGTAATTTTTATAAACTTAGTTATCAAGATAAAGGAGGTGATTGGCTTCTTGCTAATAGAATATCTTATCCCCATTCAAATTCCTTTAATTTTTTTATGTTTCTCTCTATTACGTTTTTGATGTCTAGAAGGATATTTCTCAAAAGGAGTTTCAGACTATTTTGTGTAGAAGTTAACCTATTATATACTAGTGCTAAATAATTATTGATGAACTTAGAAAATATAAAAAACAAATAAAAATTTAAAAAACTAAGTTGAGCACTAAATACAGGATACTATTGAGGAAAAAGAATAAAATGAAAAAAGCACTAGTGTTTGGTCTCAAACCCAAGTCATGTAGGTGAGAGGGGATAGATACGACATACTAAACCAGCGTAGCAATCCATATTTTGTGTTTGAGGGGGAACATCAAAATAGTTTAAAGGTCCTTGTTGTATATAAAAATATGCATACATAGTTTATATTCAGGATAACAGGTTCCGATGGTCCCACTACTCTCCATGTAGGTCCACCTCTAAATGTTATCACATACTACAAGAAACTAGAGATACGACGACGACATCACTGTTGGATTAAATGTCGTAATGTGCACTCATGTGATCCGCTTTGTCGCATCCATTTGAAGATCATGACCTATTAGATGATGGCACACTGTCTCTGAAATCTGATACCTTCTAAAAGGATGAGACAACAAATAGAATCATTATTTGGTTGAATTCATGCCCTCCTAAGTCTTATGACTTAATTTAGGCATACAACTCGGTGATGAATCTATACCACAATTCCATGGCTTTATTAGAATAAACTAACTACAATAGCCTTGAATTTATGTTCTAAGTTCCTGAAGAACAACCACCAATCTGTTCTAGAGGAGAATAAAGCAATTTTCTCAATTTAGACGAAAAGGGAAAGGAGAAAAGGAGGAGAAGAAAGTTACGTCTGCCATACAACATAGCGAGGCATCATGCAGCATTGGAGTAATGCGAAAGTACTAGACATTTGAGCCATGAATCGTGTTCATCTTAGAAGTGGGTAGGAGGGAGAAAGAATGAAAATTTGACTTGATGAACCTATAACATCTCAGGCTATAAATACAAGAAGTAAAAGGTTAATCAATTTCTAGGGAGGAAAGGAAGAAAAAAAAAGCTATCACTGATGTTCTTGGAGCAATATGAGCTTTCCAGGGGAGGAACGAGGAGTTGGCTTCGAGAATTTATAAGATATGTGTAACTCTTTTGTGGCCAAAAGATGATGGATGTTCAGAAATGAAGACAATCTTTAAACCAAGTTCCTACATGTTAAATACATCTCCAACCCTTTATCTAAAGTTATCAACACCAAAGACTCAAGCACCTGAGAAATCTATTGGAAACAATGGGTAAGATAAAAAATAATATGTATCTTGTGAAAAATAAACTCAGGCAACAGCTTATTTTGGTGGGAAGATGGATCACCTCTGGTTTAATCAGGCAAATTGCAATTTCAAACTAAAAATCTGGTAACACCAAAGTTAAGGATCATACCTCCTTAACAAAAGATGGGGCATGGAGAAGTTGCAAGACAGTCTCTCCATATGTAATTCAACAAGTCACACATGTCTATATTGGACAACCCAACATAAAGGATCAGGCCATCTGGACCCTCAATGCTCAAGGGCCCTTTACTAGCTAAGATTTGGAACAAAGATCTTGTGAAGATTACAAACCAGCTACAACGTATGTGTATTTGGTTAGGGTTTCAGACAAGTGGAAAGAAGAGAGCTCAGAGAAAAATAGATATTTTCATTATGAGTGTAAAAAACTATTCAGAGACTTCTAGAAACCTATATTTATACTTGGGGGCAAAATTGTAAACACACTACCCTCTTTACATGGGCTGTAAACCGAAAAACTTATAAATACACGTGGGCCAAACTTTGGGTCAGATCTGGACTAAATGTATCTAATAAAATCAACTAATAAGTGGGTTGTAACCAAGATCATGTAATGCCAACACCCCTCCCCCCGTCGCGCGCGCGCAAGTTGGAGAGTGATACCACACCCAACTTGCCAAGTAAGAAGCGATGATATCCACCTGTTAAACACTTAGAAAAAATGTCAGCCAATTGAGGAGATGTAACAACATGATGCAAAGAAACGAGACCATCAACCAACTTGGTCCGGATGAAATGATAGTCGACCTCAATATGCTTTGTTCGCTCGTGAAAGACTGGGTTTTTAGCTATGTGAAGTGCAGCTAAGTTATCACAGAAAATAGGAACTAGGGTAGAAATAGGCAACTCTAAATCAACAAGAAAACGAACTAACCAAACAAGTTCACCCACAACTTTACTCATGGCTCGATATTCAGCTTCTGCTGATGATAAAGAAACAATAGCTTGCTTCTTCTATTTTCAGCTAATAAGGCTGCCTCCCAATGATATGCAAAACCAGAAACTGACCTGCGGGACTCAGAGCAAGCTTCCCAATCACTATCAAAAAAAGCCTTAAGCGAAAAATCTGATGAAGCATTAAGAAAACACCCCTACATCAAGTGTGACATTCAAAACCTCAGGATATGCACTGTAGCAGCCATATGAGGAATGCGAGGAGACTCGAGGAATTGACTTAAATATTGGACAACAAAACACAAGTCTGGTCGAGTGTGGGTGAGAAAATTCAACTTTTCAATGAGGCTTCTATAAGACTGAGGATTAGGCAACACTTCAACCTGATTAGATGTCAACTTGACACACAACTTAAGAGGAGAGACTACTGCTGAAGCATCACTGCACCCAAACTCAGAAATCAAATCAGAAGTAAACTTCTTTTGGTAAAGAAGAACCCCAAACGCATCATACAATATTTCAATACCCAGAAAATAATTGGGCAAACCTAAATCCTTGATTTTAAATTGGTCATCTAGGAATTGTTTGAGAGCAGCTATCTCAACAAGATCATCACCAATAAGAATTATCATCAACATAAACAGCAAGCAAGACAGTGGATGAAGTTGATTTCTTCAAGAAGAGAGAGTAATCATTCAAAGAATGGGTGTATCCTCTAGTGTAAAGAGCTTGAGATAGCTTCGCATACATTGTCGGGAGGCTTGCCTCAATCCATAGAGAGAGTTTTGAAGCTTACAAACAAGAGTAGAAAAAGAATTTAAGGTAGAAGCAACTGTTAGTCCAGGGGGGAAGTTTCATGTACACTTCCTCATCTAAGTCACCATGAAAGAACACATGTTGAAATGTAATTGAAAAAGAGACCAATTCCTCTTAACAGCAACAACAATTAAACACCTAATGGTGCATATTTTAACCACCGGGGAAAATGTCTCATGAAAGTCAACACCCTCTACTTGTGTATCACCCCTTACAACCAACCTTGCCTTGTACCTCTCCACACTACCATCAGCTTTATACTTAATCTTATAGACCCATTTGCACCCTATAGCTTTCTTCCCTTGAGGTAATTCAACTATTGTCCAAGTGCCATCAGCTTCAAGAGCCTGAAACTCCTTCCTCATGGCTTCTTGGCAAGCAGGGCTGGAAATAGCCTGAATATAAGAATGAGGCTCAAAAGAAACCGTGTGGGCAGCAGAAAGGGATGTAGTAGTGGAGTTAAAGAGTGAAGGAGGAAGCTGAACAGCAAAATAATTGAGGTGTGATGGAAGAGTGTGATTCCTACTGCTTCTCCTAAGCTGAAAAGACTAAATTGGATCACCTCAAGGGGCAGTAGCTACATGGTTAGGAATAGGTGCTGAAATAGTAGAAGAATTAGGAGGAATAGGCAAAACATCATCAGGAACACGAGAATCAGTGATAATGGAAGCAGGTAGAGAAGAGGAGAAAGTAGGAGAAAGGGCAGGGGAAGGAGAAGGAAAGGTATCATCAGAAATGAAAGTGGGAAACTGACAAGGAGAAGATGATGGAAGGGAGTAAGGGAATATAGATTCATGAAAGATGAAATCTCTGGAGACCAACACAGATTTAGTAGACAGATTATATAGCTTTTATCCCTTCTTACCAATGGATAACCAAGAAAGACACAAGGTATAGCTCTTGGGTCAAATTTATCCCTATTACATTTAGGGACAGTGGCATAACAGAGGCAACCAAAAGGCTTTAAGTGGGAATAAGAGGGAACCTTCCCATATAATATTTCAGAAGGGGTTTTATTATGAAAAACAGTGGATGGAAACCTATTCATTATATGTGTGGCAATTAGGATGCAATCCCCCCAGAATTTGGTAGGTAGTTTGGACTGAAACAATAAAGCTCTTGTTGTCTCTATCAAGCGTTTATGTTTTCTTTCAACAGTGCTATTCTGTTGAGGTGTATGAGAACAAGTTGTGTGGTGCATGATCCCATTATCTGAAAAATATTGTACGGCAGAAGTAGAAAGGCCGATTTCTAAGGCATTATGACTCCTAATGATTTTGAATGGAAGATTAAATTGGGTTCTGATCATGGAGATAAAGGCTTTTAGCAAATTGAAAGCATTACTTTTGGAGTGCATTAGATGAGTCGAGGTTTCCCTGCTATGATCGTCCACAATGGTCAAAAAATACTTTGCATCAGAGTATGTGTTAGTACTATATGGTCCCCAGGTGTCAACATGAATGAGTTCAGACAAGCACTTGGAAACTGAGTTACTTTGGGGTAATGACAGCCTTGCCTGCCTTGCTAGTGGACAAATGGGACACACAAAAGATTATTTAGAATATAGTTGAGTAGAAATGAAAGAAATACTTTTCATTCTAGCAAATGGAATATGTACCAGCCCATGATGCCAAAGTACATCATGTATGTTTATACTAGGTACATCATTACTGGAAACTAGAGGAACACAATTCAATGCAGAAATAGATTGTTTAGCATTGGCAAAGAACCTATCACCACTATTCATACATTGCACATCTTTATTGAAAACATAATTAGGACAACTAGGACTAGAATCAGACTCATTGGAATGAAGGAGCTTGTGAGGCCTTGGTCTTGTCTACCAAGATCCAGAAGCTTCCTCATGAAATGGGCCTGTATTAAAAGGCATGAAGAGGAAGTAAACAAGATCATGCAGTTAAATTGTTGAATCAACTTGTAAACTGGGACTAAATTATTTTGAAAACTAGGAATGTATAAGACTCTATGAAGAGTGAAAGAAGGGAACAAGGTAACAGAACCAGTATAAGTAACTTTTGCTTTATAACCATTGCGAAAAGTTACCTAGTAAGCAGTGGGAAGTGGAGTAAGATTAGAAAGTATATTTTTGTTTGAGGTCATATCGTTAGTAGCTCCACTATCTAAAATCCAAATATTTCTACTAGCACCAGACAGTAAGCAAACATGAGAATAATCATTAATACAAACAGGCAGAGAGAAAGTACTACCAGCAAAGTTGGAAGATCACATGAGGTTAGTTTGAGAATCAGTAGCTGAAGAAACTTGAGTCTGTTGCAGGAGAGACATAAGTTGTGCATACTGCTGCTTGGTTAATCCAGGTACTGAAGAGGCATGTTCCTCATGGTCAGAAGCTGTGTAAAGTTGAGGTGAGTTGTACTAAGGTAGAGTGTAGGTTGTTGCAGGATACTCAGTCTCAGCAGTCACATGAGCAACCATCCTTTTCCCTTTATTGAATGTGAAACTCTGTGGAAATCCATGTAACTTGTAGCAATTGTCGATTAGGTGTCAAGGTTTTATACAATATTTGAAAAAAAAAATATTTCCCCTGGACTGATCAAAGTCCACTTTCAGAGTATATTGCATTGGAGGGAATGTCTTATTGTTGGCATTCACATTAAAAGAAGCAGCTTCAGGAACTAGCTGGGGAGTGTATTGAAGTTGCCTCTGATTTTTATCTTGAAGCAGAATGTTGTATGCACTATCAAGTGTGGGAGGAGGTTGCATCATTAGCAAATTACTTCTCACTCCCACATATATTTCATTTAGGCAAATAAGAAAATGATGAAGCTTATCCTCCTCCTCAATCCTTTTGAATACCATCTCTTGCAGCACACATGCAACGATTTCCATGGTTCTTACGCATTGTACCCAACTCATCCCAGAGCTTCTTTAGTTTATTGAAATATGACGCAATATCAAGGGAACCTTGTTGTGTGGAGGCCAATTCCTTCTTTATTTCAAACACCTTAGTATCATTTACAGCCCCATACCTACGCTCCAATTGATTCCAAATACTCTCAGTTGTACCTAAGTACTGGACACTCTCAGCTATGATTGGTGAAAGTGAGCTGGTTAGCCACGAAATCACCATATTATTGCATCTATCCCATTGACGCAGCTTTGCAACATCAGTGGTAACTGGCCTAGGACATGATCCATCGACAAATCGTATTTTATTCTTAGGAGAAAGAGACACTATCATGCTTTTTCTCCATCCTCCATACCCCGACCCAGAGAATGGAGTGCTCACTAAACACATCCCAGGTATATCAGACGAATGGAGAAATAAAGGACTTGTGGGGTCAGGAATGTATGTAGAAGTATCACTAGAACCAGCACTCACAGGAATTTCGATATTCACCATTTTAGGAAGGCACATGAACACTTAGATGCAAAAGAAAATGTCTAGGGTTTTGTGTCACCAAAAAAAAAAAACTCTTCCAAACCAACTCCAAATAATCTTCGGCAAAAAAGAGAAATACTCACTGAGAATCAAATTTTCAGCAAAAACCAAAATATTGTTGTCGTAGACCAGTCGCAAAAAAATGGCGAGCCAGCAAAACCTTTGATTCAAATGGTGAGGGTAAGATCGATCGACTCCTCTCGTCAAGATCTATCTAATGCTCATGGCTCTGATACCATGTGAAGATTAATAAACCTGCTGCAACTTATATGTATTTGGTTAGGGTTTCAGACAAGAGGAAAGAAGAGAGCTCAGAGAAAAATCGATATTTTCATTATGAGTGTAAAAATCGGTACAGAGACTTCTAAAAACCTATATTTATACATAGGGGCAAAATTGTAAATACACTACCCTCTTTACATGGGTTGTAAACTCGGAAACTTATAAATACACGTGGGCCAAACTTTGGGCCAGATCTTGACTAAAGCTATCTAATAAAACCAACTAATAAGTAGACTGTACCAAGATCATGTAATACCAACAAATATGCTATTCAAAATTTCTTTTACCATTTGGAAAATTTGAAAAGCATGTTACCATTAAATGATGTGCTACATAGAATTTGGTATTAATATTCTCTCCAATTGCTGTTGGTGTAGGTTACCACTAAAGGAAACTATAAGTATCTTATTTTCCAATAGTGAAATAGAAAAAAAGTATCTAGAGAATTATTGCTTCACATTTGGAATTTAAACCCCAAGGTGGCACCATCCTCAAAATCCTGAATCATTAGAGGAGCACTCAAGCTAAGAATTCAATTCACAAATACCTTCTATAAATTACCTCTATCAATATATGCTGGAAATTTTCGAAGGCAAGATGTGGAAAGAAACCACTATCAACCTACAAAAATCTACCAACAAGTCTTGTTTCAAGCAAAGATCTCTCATGGTAAAACGTATTATTACTTAGATAGGGAAAGTTGGCCATATGACTTCTTTTCAAATTTAAGTTGTCAATTGACATTCAAGTTTTATTTATTGTTCAAAAGACCTTCTTTATTATAGGATTTGGGTTAATCAGAAGGTGAAGGGGGAAATTCATACTGCATCCCTGTAACGACCCGACCGGCCGTTTTGAGCATTTGCACTTCGCTCGGTAGTTTACGGGCATGAGTAGCTCCGTATGATGTATTATGACTTGTGTGAATTATTGGTTTTGATTTTCAGATTATTCGGGATCGATTTGGAAGAATGATTCTCAACTAAAAAGCTTTAAATTGGAAGAGTTGACCAAGTCTGATCTTTTAGTATTTGACCTCGGATTGGAATTTTGATGGTTAGGTTAGCTCTGTCGGGTGATTTTGGACATAGGAGCATGTTCGGATTGTGATTTGGAGGCCTGTAGTTGAATTTGGCTTGAAATGGCGAGAGTTGGATATTTGGGAAGTTTGACTGGGAGTGGACTTTTTTGGATCAGATTCGGATTTATGGTTCCGGGAATTGGAATAGCTTTGTTATGTCATTTGGTACTTGTATGAAAAATTTGGGTTCATTCCGGATTGATTTGCTATGTTACAGCTCGAGTTTTGGAAGTTGAAAAGTTCAAAGTTCATCAAGTTCAAATTTAGGTGCGATTCGTTGTTTCGATGTTGTTATGTGGATTTGAGGCCTCGAGTAGACCCGTATTATATAATGGGACTTGTTGGTATATTTGTATGGGGTCCCGACGGGCTCGGACGTGTTTCAGATTGAGTTCGAATTATTTTTCCTTCATTTTTCATTGCAGGTTCTGTAGAACTCTGAGTATCAGGTTTCCTTAATTGGGATCGCGTGGTATGGATCGCGATCACGTAGAGTTGTTTGAAAGCTGGGAGAAATTGTTCAACGCGTTCGCGAGTCCTCAGACGCGTTCGAGTAGGTTGCTGCAATTTGAGCATCACGTTCGCGTAAGCCTGCACGCGTTTGTATAGTGTGGTTGACTGAGCTGGGCAATGGCCGCTTTTTCTTCGCGTTCACAGTTCTTTGTAAGCGATCGCATAGAGAATTTTTGTTGGCATTATATTTTGTTCATCGCAAACGTGATGGATCTCCCGCGTTCGCGTAAGAGGATGCCTGGGCAGAAGTATAAAGTACTCTATTTCGAGGGGTTTGGCTATTTTTACATTTTGGGAGCTATGGAGCTCGGATTGAGGTGATTCTTGAAGCAATTTCACCATGTGGACTGGGGTACGTGTTCTCTACTCATTTTTGATGTTATATCATGAATCTATTTTCACTTTCGGCATTTAATTGAGGGTCCCAAAAGAGAAAATTGCGGGTTTTAGCCTAAAATTTCAGCCTAAAATTTCATAAAGTGAATTTTTTAGTTTTGAACATCGATTTGGAGTCGTATTTGAGTGAAACTAATATGGTTGGACTCGTAATTGAATGGTTTGTTAGATTTTGTGTGTTTTGTTGGATTCCAAGGTGCAGGCCCTGTCACAACCCCTTTTTTACAAAAACAAACCTCACTAAACCCTCTTAAAAATAATAAAAAAAGATTTAGTAAAGCTTGAAAAGGGTTTTCCAATTAGAACGTGACAAAAATTATGTTCAAAAGGAAATTACTCCGAGTCGCCACCTGACTTTGATTTCGGTTTGTCAGGTCACCGTTTTTTAAGAAAAAAAATGATTTTTCCTTTAAAACACTTTAGACTCTAAAACCGAGTCTGCGCCAGAGATTCGGGTAAGGGGGTTCATTTGACTCGGGAGAAGGTGTTAGGCACTCCCCAAGTCCCGTAACTAGTACGGTTGCGCACTCGATCAAGTTGGCTTTAAAATATTCGATTGAGATAAAAAACAAACACGGAAAAGAACACACAAGAATTTCAAGGCCGTTCCCACCTAATAAAAGGAAAATAAAAACTAAAACTAAAATTCTACGAGTTCCACTTTAGGCCTCCGAATACAAGTACTTCAGGGCATTCCCCGGAATAAAATATACACAAGTCCTTCGGGGCATTCCCCAGATAAATTTAACTAAGGGAACGACCTCTTACCTCGAAACTAACGAAAATCCTAAGGCTTGCCTACCCAAGTGTGGTCGGCCTAAACATGCTCATAGCGAATAATAATAAAGCGAGAATAAGTAAATAAGAGAAAAACTAAATTCAACTCTGGCTCATGTTCTTTTAACTTATCATTTTCATGTATTTAGACCAAACCCAATCCTAAAGCATGCATATAGTTTAATCACTAATGGGCTTTGGCCCTTCTCTGCCCCACAGCCCAATATCATACGAAATGCCAAACAAGCAAGGGAGAACGAATTCCAAATCACATAGGAAAAGAGCATATGGACTGACAGTGAAATAAAAGCATGGTGAATCAAAATATGATAAGGGCCATCTAAATCTAGCTAAACCGCCTCACCCTCTTGCTATTCTCACTCAATAGAATAAAATTCTTTATGTTATAACACAGGAAGATCAATCCCAACCAAAGCAAATACACATGTACCCTGCACACTAAATTTTCCTTTACCTATAACCATGTTATATATGTCCTTATCAATTACGTGACCTTCAGAACTCCATGCTTTCCACTTAATTAACTTTCAACAAACTTCAAATAGCTCATCTTCATATTGATACATACCAGCAAAGTTAAAATAAATTTTTTTTTATAAAGGACTTGCACATATTGAAAAACATGCAGAACCGAAGTGAACATTAGCCATCAATTCCACTTTGAAAACAGTAGAAAGAAAGATGAAAACCCATAGCTAGGGGACTAACAATCAACCGCGGAATTTAATTCGTGAGTCAACTTCTTTTAGGCACACCGCTACTCCTTTGACTATAAAATTGCATAACCTGATCAATCTCGCAAGGATAGCGATACACTGACAAATTCCGATTCAATTTCCATTTTTAAGTGGGAAGACTTGCACAGAATTACAAAGAAGTAGAAGTTACCAAGTTTAACCTATCTAGTTAAGAGAAATTGATGCTTGAAAAAAATTGAAATGATCTCAATCTTAGCCAAGGTTGGAAATAGATCACTGAAAACGTGAACAAATTGATGGAACATTCAAACTGATAGACATCAAGATAGTTACACATTCTTTGCACCAAGGCATGAACAAGAACTAAGTTTAACTTGACTATTAGCAAACAGTACAAGAGTAGGCAAGAGTGTTCATAGAAATACACAAGTAATTCAAACTAGTTCAACTACTTTAACTCATCAGAAACGAAGTGATCAATCCTAGTACTAATAACAAGTGAAACAGGTTATGTCAATTCAAACCTCAACAAAGCCTTAGCTATAACAAACCGACCTAATCAGCTCATTATAAAAACCAAGCAAAGTCAGCCATCAACTATCTCAAAAAAAACTAACTCTCAACCAATTTCCTCAAACCAAACTTATGGCCCTTATCATACTTTAATAACACCAAAAATAAAGTAAGGGGGAGTCAAGAAATGGACCTGAATTTGTACAACTTCAATTAATCCCAGGAGCAAAGTACAAGAGAACCCAGCAGCGAGGAACAACAACTAAGAAAACAGGATCAGCAGCCACGGACGGACCTCGATCGGCGACTCCAAAATTCTAACGCCAGCGGGACTCAATCACGCTCCATGCTTAAATCAAAATTAGAATTCCAGAGGAGAAAGTGAACTATATTTTTTTTGTGTTTTTCTGAGATTTAAATTAAACTAAATATCTGGAAAAAAAAAAGAAAAAAAACTGAAATCCAAAGATGAAAGGGCTAAACAGAATTTGCTTTTGTTTGTATTTTTCTGATTGTTCCAAGAAGTCGAGAGTCAGAGAAGAAGATTGATGATTTTTCCAAACCCTAATTTCTTCTCCAATACCCCCCTCCCCTAAATTTCTGTCTACGACCCAAATATATAGGAAGCCCTCGAAGCTTCTCCTTCCTTCCTCTCCAAGAAAACTCGCCCAAAAACCCGAATTTGCCCTCAAATCAATTCCGAAAATCCCTTTCACAAACAAAAATCGGAAGACTTTGGACAAAAATATTCATCCAACGGTTCCCATTTCTCCAAGATTTATTCAAGGGTCTCGGATTTGTTTCTAATCGAACGAAAAAGAAAGGAAAATGCGTGAATCTCAGGGATATGATGAGGCTTGTACGGAGTGTGTGACGTGGAAGAAGGAGAGGAGAGGAGAGGGGGGACCATGGGGGACCATTGAGGCGAGTTTGGGTGTGTGACTCATCCGATTCCGGCTAGTCTTGATCGGCATAGGCAAGGCAGAGGCGGCTGGAGTTTGGGGTGTTAGATTTAGGGTCAGATTGGGGAAGAATTAAGCTTATATTTGGGTGTGGGGAAATAATCCTGGCCTTAGGATCTGAGGTGATGGAGGGCTAGGATTAAAACAAGGAGTGGGGCGGGTCAGGCGGACTGGGTGCGGGTCAGCAGGCTTTAGGAGTAGGGTTGTTGATTGGGGCTTCAAAAATGTGCGAAATTGGGCCAAAATGACTAAAAATTCAAATTAAATACCTATAAAAACTCTAAATTAATTTTGATAAACTATTAGTATTAAAAATAAAATTAAAGTTGGAACTATTTTTGGTATTTTCAAGGATTATATTAGGATTAAAATAGGTTAAAAGCAATATATCTTTCTAAAAATACCTAACACTGNTGGCACTTGCGTACCCTTGATTAGGAGAACTCTTGGGACCGCTCTTGGTGGTGGCGGAGGAGGGTTTGGAATAGGATTGTTGTCATGTACATTAGCATTGGCATTTCGACCTCTCCGTGGTACTTGAGGTACCGGAAGCTCATCTTGCTCAACATCTTCAACCTCCTCCCCCGCCAAGGCATTGCCAAGAGGGTCATTTCCGTTTAGAGCCATGAGTACCTGATGGATCAACACAAATAGAATTAGTAAAAAGAAGGAAAGAGAAGCAAAACACAAAACTAGCTACACAAATAGTCAACACCGTAAGCTCCCCGGCAACGGCGCCAAAAAGTGATTAGGTCGCAGCAGACTCAACCTTAGGAAGAGTGGGCGCTAATACTTTTACCCAATAGTGGTATCGGGGTCAATTTCCACAGGGAGCTAGGAAGGGAGTTGGATATTTGTTTAGCCTAGAAATGTGAGTTTGCTTCTAATTGATCTTCTATCATTTTTGGGTTTTTCTTTGTGATTATCAACTACAATTTAAAAACTATTAATTATAACTAAATTATGCTAAGATATCAAATCTAGGTTGTATGCAAGATAGAGAAAGGCACTAGGGTCGTGGCATTTACCTAGGTGGTCAACTAACGGGTAGAGATTCCTAATACGAGAATGATGATTATGGGGCTTATGATATAACCGTTGCACGGTAGCACTCACTCTCACACCTCTCGGTAGAAAGAATGATTTTGCCCAATTGACTCTCTAGAGACCAATTGAGTAGGCTAACAAACCAAACAACTTAGGGTTCAAGTTGGGTAATTGCTCTCTCGAGGTTTTACCCGTTAATTGGGACTACTATTCTCATAGGTCCATCCCAATTCCTTGTTGGGTTAATTTTGGAGTCATAGACACTCTTTCTCAAGAAGAGTCAAGAACCAAAAAGCTATACTTAGTGTTTGCAACCACCAAATCCAAGTGAAAACATAAAAATAACCCAAATATCAAACACCCAACATCATTCAAGCATTAAACAATCATACCCATTAATTACCCACACTAAGGTTGAGCCACAACCCTAGCTTATGGGTTTAGCTAGCCATAATAACAACAGAAATTGAAGGAGAAATAGATAAAATGAACATATTAATTAACTAGAAGGTAAAACTACAAGAATCCACGTTAAACACAATGAAAAATGCCAAAAATAGGCTAAGACTTTTGTCTCACGAGTGCAGCAGCTCTTCTGTATCTAATTCATATCCTAAAAATGGCAAATATTATATTTATACTAAGTTAAGAAAAACCGGACAAAAATACCCCTGCGGCGTCTGTGCGGTCCGCACGATGATGACACGCGACCGCACTGGGTTGCTTTACTTCTGAGACTTGCTTTCTGAAGATGTTGACGTGGACCGCACAATGATGAAGTGCGGTCGCATGATGACTGGCGCGGACCGCGTGAACTTGTAGTGCGGCCGCATGAGTGGCTTGTGATGGTCTCTGAACTTTTGAGGTGCGGACCGCGTGAATTTGTAGTGCGGCCACATAGGCTGGGACTGAGAATGCCAACTCTCTGAACTTTTGTGGTGCGGACCGCGTGAACTTGCAGCGCGGCCGCATTGGTTGGAGCTGAGAATGCCACCCTCTGAACTTCAGTGGTGCGGCCGCATGACATGATGGTGCGGTCCGCACCAAGTTCTTAATATCCATGCTTTCATGATCTTTGACACTTGAGCAGGTTTCACTCTATTTCGAGCCGTTTTTTGACTTTCGTCACCTTGTTGCTCAAACCTGCTATCAAGCGCAACTTATAAGCATTCTGGGTATTTTTATGGCAAATCATACATAAAGCATAGGCAAGTATGGGCATAAAACGTGTCAAAATCACAGTTATCACACGTGTCCTCACCATCTGTGAGAGAATAGAAGTCAGAAGTTTAGAATTGATGTCAAAGAATATTGCACGACAAGGAATTCAAATGGAATGAAGATTTTTCCTAAACAGTTACATAGCCTCTCGTAGATAAGTACAGACGTCTCCGTACCGATCAGCGAGACTCTAATAAACTGGCATGTGTCCCGTGACTCCTATGAACCTAGAGCTCTGATGCCAAGTTGTCACGACCCCAGTTCACCCTCCATGAACATGTCGTGATGGCACCTAGTTCCTACAACTAGGTAAGCCTAGCAGTGCGGAACAAACAACATAACTTGCGAAAATAATCAATTAAGGCTGAACAACTAAAGAAAATCTATATATAACTGTCACTCGGCATATACAACTCAAAATAAATGCGGAAACCTACTACAATACCCCAAAACCCAAAAACTCACGGGAACACAAGCTATTGGAAATAACATACAGCTCTAATCTCCAAAATTCATCTAAACAAAAGTGCGAAAGAAATGCTAAGTGCTACAGATAGAGTAAATAGGGAGACTCCTTGGCCTGCAGACGATGCAGAAATACCTCAAAGTCTCCGTAGCTCTCCCGACCTCAAGAGTAGTGCGCCTGGGACGAAGTACCTGGGTCTGCACATGAAAAACATGCGCAGAAGAGGCATGAGTACACCATAGCGGTACTCAGTAAGTGCCAAGCCTAACCTCTGTTGGGTAGTAACGAGGAAGGTCAGGGCCCTACTGAGAAAAAATATAATAACAAATGTACAAGATAAAGAACTGACAGTAATAATGAGTACGGCAGTGAGATAAAACATGTCAAGTAATGCAATAACAACTACACAAGGAAAACAGAGTAAACACAGAGTATGTACAACTCAATACCAATGATAACAATGAGGATCTCCCAGGATACCGTCCTGTAGCCCTTTTCTCAACTGTCTAGTGGATCTCCCGGGATACCGTCCCGTAGTCCATCTCATGTGTAAATCCGAAGAATCTCCGGGATACCATCCCGTAGTCCATCTCATGTGTAGGGGGATCTATCGGGAATATAACCCGCAGTCCCAAAGTAAGGGTACAGGGGGATCTATCGGGAATCTAACCCGCAGTCCCAAAGTAAAGGTGCAGGGGGATCTATCGGGAATCTAACCCACAGTCCCAAAGTAAATATCAACGTGCAGGGGAATCTATCGGGAATCGAACCCGCAGTCCCAAAGTAAACAAACAAGGGGAGAAATACCGAAATCCCACATCTGTAGTCCCAATGTAAATACGCAGCCACAATAAGAAGGTATTCAGAACTAGAGTACAAAAAAATACAAGGCAACAAGTAGTTCTAGCCTAACATGCTTCACGTAGTACAATCAAGGCAACTTAAGCAAATAGGCAATTTAGGTCAGCTAAGCATGCTTTTCTAAACTAACATAGGCTATAATTGCAAGTAGAATAAGGCAGGTAAGAAAGAAACTTAGTCTAAATATTTAAAGTAAAACCGGACTTTCAACAATTAGCTCAAGTACGCGCTCGTCAGCTCACGTACAAGGCATTCAATTACCAAATATCATATCCTAAGGGGAAAGGTCCCCCACACAAGGTTAGACAAGCCACTTACCTCGAGCCGGCTCAATATCAACTAGAAACCACGCCTTTGCCACGAGTATCCGACTCCAAATGACCCAAATCTATTCATTTCAATTACATCTCGTAAATAACATCTCAAGCAACTGATTCTACTATTCAATTTGAAGCTAAGACGCAAATTTAGATAAAATAACCAAAACGCCCCTCGGGCCAACATGGTCAAAACCCGAAGTTCGAACTAAAATCCGATTACACATTCCCCCACGAATCCAAATATGTGATTAGTTTTGAAATTGGACCTCAAATTGAGGTCCAACCCCCAATTTTAGCAAAACCCTAGGTCCTACCCAATATACCCAAATTTCCCAATTAAAATCTTCGATTTGACGTTGAAATGATGTTAAAAGGTGTTAAGGAGTGAAGAAAATGAGTTAGAAATCACTTACCAATCTTTTTGAAGAAAAAGAATTGCTTGGGAAATCGCCTCTTATGTTTTGGGTTTTTGAAAAGTGAGAAAATAACTGAAAATCCCGTGTTTTTATACTCTCTGAAGACCCAGCGCGGACCGCGCAAAAAGGACCGCGGCCGCGCGACCTACACCGCGGACCGCGCTAGGGCGACCGCGGGCACGCTGGAGCCTGCAATTTTTTTCCTGACCTGCAATACCTGGTGTGTTTAAGTCTAAGACCTCCCGGAACCTACTCGAAACTCACCCGAGCCCTCGGGGCCCCCAAACCAAACATACGCACAACCTCAAATGCACCCTACGAACTCATCCGTGCGATCAAATCGCCAAAATAATATCATATACATCGAATCAAGCCTCAAAGCTCATGATTCCTTCTCAAATTTTTCATAAGACATAAAATTCCCATTTCGGGTCCGAAACATGTCAAACGAAACTTCAGCGATTTTTCTTTCAAAGTTTCACAAAAATAGAAGAACTAGGGTGATTTTCTCAAGAGATTTTCTTCCCAAATCACAAGTAAGTATTCATTAACTGATTTCTTTCAACTATCTAATGTTTTTCATCAACTTTAATCAGTAATCCTAGGATTTTAATGGTAGAAAATTGGGGAATTGGGTAGAGTTAGGGCTTTTTGATTATTTGGGAATTTGACCTCGTTTTGGGGTCGGATTTCAAATCAAATGATATATCCGGGCTCGTAGGTGAATGGGTGATCGGG